ACCGGGCGTCAAGGAAGGTGAAGAAAGAAAAACGAGTGGCAAATACAGAACTGCCAGCAATAGTACCAGCAGGCGCCGCAGCTTGAGCGTTAGAAAGAGATCTAGCACTGGCTCTACATCGCCATCTACAGTCTCGCCCTCGTTTCAAATCAGCGAAAACCTCAAGACACCCAGGAGATCAAATGGTGAGGCGGAAGGAAAACGACTTATGAGATCCCCAGCGAAAGATTCAACACCAAAGAGACGTCGAACACTGCACCGGGCGGACATTTCACTTCCACTACAACCTGAAGAACCGCTGGTCTTACTTCCTGGTCCTTCGCGTCCATCCACACAGCCAGCTATGGGTAAAACACGCCAATACGATGAGCGAAACGTTCAAGCTGCTGATCCAAAGATACTTGCAATGCGACAACTACTTCGCCCTCGGACCCCCACTCCTAGCCAGCGTAATAGTCAACAGCACGAAGAGGCACCCTTTGCTGAGTCAGGACTCACATCGGACGAACGTGCAAGACTCTTGCAACAGCAAAAGATTGCTATGATCCAAGCTGAGCTTGATCTGGCCAACCCTGATAGGCCTCTCAGCGCCAGTCAGGAATCTCAGGAGAGTCGAAAACCCTCTGTAACTACCCAGGACTTTTTAGACGAAGCGAAGAAGATAATGGCAGGCATTCGCGGTAAAGCAAGACCTCGCAGTGGTCTTACCAGCGTGGAAGAGTCAGAGTCCGAAAATGATCGTGTTCCATCAAACAATCCAGCAGATGACGAGCTGGAAGATTCGTACCAGGAATCAACTCAGGAGTTATTTGAAAGGCCACCAAGCCGCGAAGGAGCCCCAGTATCAAGAACGCCGCCAACTCAAGATCCAGAGCTTTTAAACCACTTACGTAAATATGAGGAGAACAGTGAAATGGATGGCATCATTGCTTCATCCATAAAGTCTATGGCTATGGCAAAAGAAGTTGTCAGAAATGCGAAGGAAATTGACAGAATGGCAGACGAAACAATTTCAAGATCACTTGGTCACTTCTTGGATCCTATCAATGCAGTTCAGAGCGAACCAGCAAACATCCGCATATCTAACAACCCAGATATTCAGCGAAAACGTAAACACTCTGGCTCTTCGCGACAACTGGACGAAGAATATGATGATCCTGATTTTTTCACACAAGGTTCGAACAATTCCATACCCACAACGTCATCCAAAGGCTCGGATTCGAGGCGTGTAATTGCTCCGCATACAGTATCTCATCTGATACCAGAACAACTTGCTGGCATGGTTTTTGATCGAGATCGGAATATCTGGGTAAAGAGGAAATCTACTAAAGAAAACGATGGGCAAGATTCCCCTATTTCCGAAGGAAGTGAAGAAGATCCTTTTGAGGACATTCCTGATTTGTCATTTGATGAAACGCAAGAGCTCATGAGGCTGAGGGCTGTTGCTGCGAAACAAAAGGAAGACGCACGGTTACGCTTGGCTGAATATCTCGGCAACGAAGGACAGCAAGGTGCCTTGAGTGGCCAATTCTCGCCTCAAAAGACTTCGAATATGAGCGTTCCGCTGGTGGATAACAGACCCCGGTCAGCACCGTCAGAGCCCATCCAAACTGCCGTAGATAGTCCTGTCCCAGAGATTAAAGTTCGATCCGCCTCTGTAGGTGAAGATAGCATCCTACGTCCAAAAAAGACCCGGCGTGGGAATGTAAACAAGTCTGCTTTTGGAAGTCACAGCTCAACTGAGGGCAAAGCCCCCGAAGAGAGTAGGGGATTGGTCGAAGACGATGTTTTTATTCAACCAGATGGAGACCTGAGTACCACAACTCCAAAACGTCAACGAAACGTTACAATCACTTTCTCGTCTCCTATCGCGGAGCTTATCGAGCCGCCTACTTACAATGACGATGATGGCTCAGCAAAGGGTGGAGCTTACCAATCCGACGATGACAGTGTCAACGAATCGGACAGCGATGATGGAGGGAGTATTCGAGTTAAAAAGGGGAAATCTAGACAAGGAAGTGGAAATCGTGGAGGATATAGAAACAACTCTCGTAGGCTATCGGTAGGAGGGCAACAATTCATGCCGCGTCCAGTATCACGAATTGATGAGCAGGACGAAGAGTCTTTCAATAAAGAAAGAGGTGGCAAGAATAAATCTGGGAACAATCTTCTCCCAACACCATCTATCTCGCCAAAAAGGGTTAATAGTATAGTGCTCGCTACACCACGGCCCATTCACGAGATCGGGACTCTTGAACTTACTCCACTCTCGGAATTTACGATGCATCAAGCAGACGAATCTTATGGGATGGACGTAAGCTATGTGGCAAACGGGCAAAAGCATAATGCAGGGCCTTCTTCAAAGACAACACTTTCTCATTCAATCAAGGAAATGGTTGAAAAATTGACTGAGATAGAACCATATGAGCCATACTGGGAGCATATGAAGAGCGCCGATCTGCATAGGAGGAAACTGACAAACCTGCATAAACTCGACGAGTTTTGTGAGCACCTGGAGGAACTGAAGGTTTCCAAAAACGAAATTAGTCAACTGAACGGCGTTCCTTCATCACTTCGCACGCTCATTATTAACCATAATCGCCTTTCCGATCTTACATCTTGGGGCCATCTGTGGAATCTTCAGGAAGTCGATGTCTCTAACAATGAGATTGAAAGCCTTTCCTGTTTCAAGAACTTGGTGCACCTAAGAAGCTTACAAGCAAACAATAACCAAATCGCTTCGCTACATGGTATTGGAACTCTTGATGGCTTGATTACACTTCGGCTTCGAGGCAATCCAATTGAGACACTGAACTTTGAAGGAACAAACCTCAAACACTTGGAACATCTAGACCTTAGAGGTTGTCAAATTTCAGAAGTCAAGAATATCGGACATTTACCGAATTTGTCGAGCCTCGATTTGGAGAACAATAAATTGGTCAATTTCATGACATCGGACGATACATGCTCGGCTAGAGAGGTCAGGTTGAGCTTCAACAACCTTGAATCTTTCGATGCGAATCTCACACCCGAGATTCGTATTCTCTATCTGGATTCCAATCGAATCAAGACTATCACTGGCCTCCTCCACAAAAGAAATCTTTATAGTCTCTCAGTGCGTGAACAGCAATCTGGCACGGTTCTGGACAAATCGTTTCTCCGCGAGGCTTTCGAAGTGAGAAAGTTGTTCCTGTCCGGTAATCACTTGGGAACCTTCGATCCGGGTGTCGAATATCTCAATTTGCAATATCTTGAACTTGCAAACTGTGGTATTACTTCTCTGCCAGATGATTTTGGTCTTATGGTGGCAAATGTAAGAGTTCTAAATCTCAATTTTAACGGGCTGCAAGAGTTTCAAAGTCTGCTTGGTATCGTTCGTCTCAAGAAATTGCTCCTTGCCGGAAACCGTTTGTCTAAAGTGGAGAGACTCACACGAACCTTGAGAGCATTTCCTCATTTAACTACTGTCGATATGAGAAACAATCATGTTAATCACAACTTCTACCCAATAGCATTGGAAAGATGCTTAATCAAAGATGGCGGACTCGAGAGAAATGACCTGGATGTTATTGATCCATATTCTCTTGGCAATGCAGATCCAGTAAGAGATGCTCATTATATCTCGTGTTCGGATATGGCAACAAGATTGATGCGACGTGTATACGAAATGCTCGTCTTTGGAAAGAAAGGCGACAATCCCAAACTACAGAAGTTGGATGGTCTTCCGATCAATAGAGAGGTCTCAAGAATTCGGGATGACGTTTGGGATAAGCTTCTTGAGATGGGTTATATAAAATCATCGGGAAAATCCAAAGGGAAGACAAATGGTGGTCTAACTGAGGATGAGAAAACAGAAGAGAGCGTGTTAGGAGGAGATTTTCATCAGGCCACCCCTAATAAAAGTTCAATGGATGAAATAGCTAGGAATACGGAAGGGTTGCAACATCAACAATCCAACAGTAATGACTCTGGGCAAAGAGTTCGAGGCTCACATGATACGAAATCTAATTTTGAGAACATCGAAATGGGTTTTGAAAGGCCACCTGCTGGCAGTTTTGGCAAGAATATCGCGAAGCCTAAAGCTGATGTAAATCCAATGACCCGAAAGAGCGCCACACAAAAATCAACAGGGTATGGTATTGCACAGGAGAATACCGGAAATCGTTCTCAAAGTGGGCAAGCATTTAAAATCTACAAACCCAAGACACAAGTTCCGGTGGACCTCAATTCCCGGGAGAGTGAAAATGCTGAAGCAACTGAAGTCGACTCGGCGCCAGGACCATCCACAAGGAAGAAGAATGGAATAACACGCGATATAGAGAAAATTATCGCTGAGAGTCAAGCTGCTGTTGCAAAACACAGGGCCTTAGTAAGACGTATGGATGATGAAGTTGGAGAAAGCGTGTCCGGACCGAAGCGGATGGAAACCAATAGACCTAAGGCCGGATTTCCACCTCCAGTGATTCCGCTCGCCGATCAGGCTATTTATCAGCAACAACCATCACAAAATTCTGGAGCTGGCCCCCCAACAGCTGCCCAATTGAAACAGGAGCTGGAGGAGATGCTGCAGTCATTCGAACGCGAGACAAAGTCGAAAGAGGCCAAACTGTTGAACCGAAATCGGGGTGACCATGGGTCTCCTATTCGACAGAGCAGCCGAAGCAAGCCAGCTACGAAGAAGGGCGCTAAGAAGGTTGAATTTGCTGAAGGGAGCAAGGAGGCTTATGCAAGCAAAGATCCGCGCTGGCCAGCTGAGGATAGTTTCGCTTGAGTAGCGAAAGTTACGAATTATGGATAATTATGAGTAATGCGGTGGGATGGTTGGGTTGTACAAATAGGATAATCACTAAGGTATGGTGTTGGTGGTTCTACAAAAGAGTTTGGGGTTTGTGGGATTCTTTGTATAGTATTATTACAGTATTGTTCGGAAGACCACGGAGTGGTCAAGTGATACCTTTCGGCGTATACAATTGCTTGCTACATATAAAAACATCATTTTTCTATAATTTCGACGTCTTCTTTGCTTGCTTCTCCCACTCAGCAACTCTACCCGCAGCCTCTTCTTTCCTCTTAACTTCTCTATCCATATTCACTCCGTCCCTTTCTTCGTTCTGTGCGTGCCCTTCCAAATATCCCAAAGTCTCTCTCCACATCTCCGCCTTCAACACGCCATAAACACCAGTCTTTCCTTTCTCCAATAATTTGCAGTCATCAACTAGCTTTAACACTTCTTCCCATCCACCTAATACATCTACAAGTCCGCCTTGGAGCGCTGCTTCGCCATTGAAACGTTTTGCTTCTAGAACGAGGGAGCGGTAGGTAGAGGGAGAAGGGAGTTTTTGGCGGAATATGGAGGACATGGGGGGTTTAAGAGGCGCGCCAAATTCAAGCTCGTTGAGACAGAGAAAGCCCCGGCTTGGGTTGAAAACGCGGTAGTCGGTGTACATGGCGGTCATGAGGCCGCCAGCAAATGCATGGCCGGGGAGGAGCGAGATAGTGGGCATGGGGTAACTTTATTTTGTCAAGGTGTTAGAAATTACTCTATTAATTGAGAAGCTGGAATGTATAGAATGAAAGAGAACTTACGTCAACAGCCTCTTCCAGAGCGCATAGAGGCTCTTGTCAAAAAAGCCTTTAACCTCGGTAGCATGATTCAAATCTAAACCATTGGAGAAGAATTTGGGAATAGCGGAAGTGATACAGACGGCACCGACGGGATAGGAGACTTCGAGGATATCGAGGGCGTGCATGAAAGTTTGGCAGAAAGCAGTGGTGAGACGATTATCTGGGGGCGAAGAGAAGGTGAGGAGGTAAAGATTCGGGTGCGCAGCGGAGGGTGTGGTACAGGTTAGGGTGCCGGGTTGGGATTGGAGGGGGGAGGATATGGGTATGGGGAGGGTAAAGAGGGGAGTGGTGGTGGACATGGTGTATGATTGAATATTGAGATAGAGATAGAGATTGAAGGTAGAGAAGTATTATCGGATGAGATCAATATATCTATCTATTGAATACTCGAGTAAAGATGCGAGGTCGCGATTGTGAGAATGCAACAATCGGTAATCACCTACATCATGCCGAGGTTCAAAAAAGCCCAGCCTTCTGGTGAAATGCCGTCTGACCTCTCAGATCCGAACCTTGCGATTCAACAGTGGATAAATAACTCTAAGATTACTTATTACTATCGCGAATACCACACGTTGAAAGTTTCTAGATCAAAAATGATTCTGGGTCTATACTTCGATTATGTCGCCAATAACATAGCTCTTTCCTTGACATGTGAAGGTAAAGCTGGATAATTTTAGCACAAGGCTGAAGACCCTGGCCACATCCCTGTCCGCCTACCCACCTTTATTACCAAAGAGCTTGCGACAGTCTATCTGTCACTTCAATGATCAAACACAAAACACAAATTTTTGCACGACATTGTGATGGCTATCGCAGAAAAGCAGAAGACCATTGTGTTCTTCCATCCTGATCTAGGGATTGGTGGTGCCGAAAGACTCGTTATAGATGCCGCAGTAGGATTACAGAATCGGGGACACAAAATCGTTATATTCACCAGCTATTGCGATCCTAAGCATTGCTTTGATGAAGCTCGAGATGGTTAGTTGGAAGATGGAGCTTTTGCTATACGGCACCAATGCTTAATCTGTATAGGTACACTTGACGTGCGAGTAAGAGGAAACTGGCTTTTCCCATCCTCAATCCTCTCTCGATTCTCCATTATCTGCGCCATTCTTCGACAGTTACATTTAATTGTCCAGGCGTATTTTACCTCTGAAATCAGCAGCCTAAAACCCGATGCTTTCTTCGTGGATCAGCTCAGTGCTGGACTACCGTGGCTACGATACTTTTATCCCAATACTCGAATCTTCTTTTACTGTCATTTCCCGGACCTGTTACTCGCACAGGGAAGAACCCATTGGTTGAAACGCGCATATAGAATACCTTTCGACTTCTTGGAGCAATGGAGTATGTGTTTTGCGGAGTCAATTGCGGTCAATTCCGGATTCACAAAGGGTATGGTGGAACAGGTATTCCCTGAATTGGCCAGGGAAAAAGATTTACAGATTGTACATCCTTGTGTGGATGTAAATCCAAAGAAATCTGAGACCAGTGATGATGCCGTCCCAGTCTGGCATGATAGAAATATTTTGTTAAGCATCAATCGATTTGAAAAGAAGAAGGATATTGGTCTTGCAATTAAAGCGTATGCAGGATTGGGCAAACATGGAAGACAGGGAGTGAGATTGGTACTTGCTGGTATGTCATGTTTCGCTATTGATGAGAAGCATGCTGACACGATTGACAGGTGGATATGATAACCGAGTGATGGAGAACGTCGTATACCATAAGGAGCTCGTTAAACTGGCTACCGACTTAGGATTGAAGACAGCTACCACACGGACCATCGTTACAGCATTAAATGTACCTGATGATGTGGATGTTTTGTTCTTGTTATCAGTACCAAATACTTTGAAGGAAATGCTACTAAATTCAGCACGGCTTTTGATATATACACCTTCTAACGAGCATTTTGGCATTGTACCCCTGGAAGCGATGTTGGCTGGAGTACCAGTATTAGCTGCAAACACAGGAGGGCCACTCGAGACAGTAGTGGAAGGGAAGACAGGCTGGCTCTGTCCACCTGATGATGTTGAGAAATGGACGGCTGTCATGGATAAAGTCCTAAACAAGATGACGGATGATCAGGTTAAACAGATGGGAATTGACGGTGTAAAGAGGGTCAAGAATGAATTTTCTGATGTCAAAATGGCCGAGAGAATTGATGGATTGATCGATGTAATGGCAAATACGCCCAGGAAGAGTGCTCTACAACTCTCCGCGTTCTTGCTAAGTATTATTATGGTTGTATTGGACATTGCATTCTGGGGCTTGGGTCAGAACAAATCAGTCAACAAAAAGCTGGACAAGTTTTTGTTACCTCCATTCGTTCTTACCCTAACGTCATTGATATCATGGGCTGTGTATTCTGTAGTCAATTCCCAGGCCAAGTCGAGTTCGCGGCAGCCGATTAGATGAGGAAAAATAGATAATTAAATGCATTGATAACATCCCACTCTGTAGATCTTGCGGCAAGGATACATGTATGAGTATCATTGAGAAAAAAGGGGTATGATGAAATATGATTGGCTGAAACCCGCCGAGGCGAATGGGGTTTTTCCAGACACCACGAACCTCAATATTTCTTACAAATTTCAATGTAGCACAACATACAGCATACAATCCTATATGTACTCTATGACATTCGTTTATTGTTTTTAATATTGAAACAGTTCTAGATACTAAGGTTCTTTGGTCTAGTAAAGGCAGATTATAAATTGTATTACTTGCTATACTTCCCTAAAAGCCTAGGCTAGCCCGGCTACTCAATCTTTCATCTTGAAACCTCCAAAAATCGCAAATTTGCCCCACCACCAGTCAATATAACGCGTGTTTTGTCTCGACACCGCTCTCATATCATTCATTCACAACTGGGTGGAACCGTATCTTCATACACTGTTACCAATAAACACGCCAATCATTACCACTCACTTGGTTTCCCAAATAGCCAAAGCCGACAGATAGTATCCGGAGCTACAAGCCGCAACAACTTTACACTGCAAGAAGTTTGCGAGGTACGAAGCAATTCTTGGGTCATCCGCCAACCAACCGAGCTTGTGGCATTCCTGACGAGTGCATATCCTGGTGTCATTGAAAGGGTGAGCAAAGTGAGATACTGGGGTAGTGGTAGTATCCGTCGATATCCGATACCGTACCTGAACGTTCGATCTGTTTGCGGGGAGCTCCTTCTACATACGTATAGCCATACTTAAAGATGTTGTTGCTTAAAAGTTCTCTCTCGCCTATGGCGGCTGGGAAGGTCTCGACACGCACTCTCTTGCATGTCTTGAGAAGTGGTAGATTCAGCAACGTGATGGGGGAACTACAAGCACCATTGTTTAATCACGTGTTACAGAAATCATACAGTCTCAAGATTCTCAAGAAGGTAGAGAAGTTCGGCTCTGTAGTCGTGGGCACAGGGCCAGCTGGACTTGCGGTTGTGGGCAACCTTTTGGAGCAGAAAAAAGGTCCAGTTTTATGGGTTGGAGATGCTCAACGTTCGGGGGGTGGCAGATTAGACCGAGCGTATCGAGCTGTGCCTTCGTGAGTTTTGTCCTTCTCTCTGTTGCTTGAATCTTGAGTGCAAATCTAATGATCTTTTACCATAGCAACACGAAAGTCAAGTTCTTTTCTATGTACGCTGATGCTTTGGAACCTTTCAAGCAAATCACAAGTGAAGCTGCTACTCCTAACGCTTATAGCGTTTTGCAAGATCTTGATCAGGAAAAGACTTGTCACATTGCTGAAGCTGCTGATTTAGGGCTGATGTTGGGTGCCGGGCTTCTCAAAACCGAGGGTGTTTTTGGAGTCAATAATGGCACAGTTGAAAGTGCTTCTTGGTCCGAGGTAAGTTCATTGTCTAGGTCGGTTATCTGCAAGCTAATGCCAAATAGACCAAGGGCTGGGATGTAAAATTCAGTGCCTCAGGGAGTAAAACACGTTCAGTATCCTCCGATCTCCTTTTTTTGTGTACTGGTTCTCACCCCAGTTGGAACCGCCTTGAACTTGATCAATCTAGTAAGCGGGTGCCTAGCATTAGTCTTGATAAATGTTTGAAGCCTACACTATTGAGGCGAAGCATCCGTTTTGCTATAAAAAAGAATCCAGACCCAACTAAGCCTATCACTATCGCCGTCATCGGTGCATCTCACAGTGCAATTCTCGTACTGAGAAATCTTTACAATCTCGCAACTTCCCCTGACCAGGAATTCCAGAACCTTCGTATCAAATGGTTCACTCGCCATGAGCTTCGATATGCCGAGGAACGTGATGGATGGATCAAACGCGATAACACGGGTCTCAAGGGTGAAGTCGCTACATGGGCAAAGGAAAATCTCGAGGCCGAGACATTACCCACATCTGACGTTTCCAAATATCTCGAGAAAGTAAAGACCTCGACAGAAACCGAGAAGGAAGACTACGAGAAACATTTACCCGGATGTAACTGTATGGTGCAGGCTATCGGGTTCACCAAGAACGAGCTTCCAACTATCGAGAGGGATGGCACGCCATTGGAGATTACTTATAATCATGAGACGTCGGAATTTGTGGATGCTGAGGGAAAGACGATTAGGGGGCTGTATGGTGCTGGAATTGCGTTCCCAGAGAAGGTTGTGGATCCTGAGGGAACAACAGAGTACGCCGTTGGCTTGTGGAAGTTTATGAAGTATTTGAAGAGGGTTGCGCCAACGTGGACTGCGTGAGGAGAGATGCTGTGACATTATCATGGTGGTAGGAGATGCTGCATGATCGATGATGTAATGAGATAGACTTTTCTTGATGCCTGCAACTTCAAATTATACATACCCTGCTGCAAGTTATGTACTTATGATCGCAAGTATAACATGGTGACGAAAGAATATTGAAACTCAACAATGCACCCTCGCTTTCATCGCACAGCTATTATGGGCGCTTTTTACTGATGTGCTGCTTGAATTCATGCATACTCACCTCGAACTTCGAAATCATTCCATAGATTGAATCTATACTATACATACCTCGAATTAGATTCAGACATCGAACTTAATATATCATATGGTAAAGTCACTTCACACATCGAATCTGAGACGTGTACCTATCCAACCAGCCACACCTGCTCCAAGCAGTACATTTTCCATCCATCCTCTCTTTACCGCCATCAAGTATCTCTCAGTGCCCACCATGCTCATCGTCAGCTCAATCCAATCAACAAATCTCGTTCTTGTTTATGGAGAATCCAAACACGTTAAGCCTAAATACTAGAGACGCCGGAACTTCCCTTAAACCCTTCCACAAAGTGTGCTTCTAGCGTGGTTGTAAG